AGAAAGTAACCGAAGCTGCTAAGATCATAAAATTTTTGGTTATAGCATTAATTTACTACGCAAAGGTGCTTTTTTATTATTGTAAAGAGCAAATTTCATTATTCTTCGTAAGTTAATTTTAGTAACAATCTTAGCAATTGATATAACAGATAAAGTAAACCAAAACAACTTTGTTCAAAATTTAATAAATCTTCTATTAAGTGATAAACTTGCATCTTTATCAATATTGCGCAATTTTAAAAAGATCTGTCACTTGAATTTGTTCTACGTCACATTTTTGATAATGTGAATACACCTAATTCTTCGCCTCTGAAAACTTTGCCAAAGGTGTTGCTTATTCTATATTTAATTCACTTTATCTAAATTTTTAATATTAGATTTAAACTATGTACTTCAAGTAATATCTCTTTATTAGTTGTGTATTATATACTCCAATAATAGTATTAACATTAATATTGCATGCTAATTTTTTGCGATTTAAAAATTAAAAATAAATAATAAGTTTAAATTGACTATAAAATAAAAGCATTACAAACTACGTACTTAAGATTTTAACAATAGGCACTTTAGCATCAAAAATTACTATCGATGTTAATAATTATTTGTCATTGACTAACGTCTCAGATTCTGTCTCAAAAACTTACACATCTGATGATGAACAATCAGTTAATTCACAACAATCCAGACCAATCATTAACAAAGTTGCCGAAGTTCAAACAGCACCAATAAATAATAATAATGGTTTACAACCCGTGGTGACCAAATCAAAAAAATGCTCTAATGATACACAAAGTCAAACGCAAGCAGTTTATGTCCTCCCATGCAATATTAATCAAAAATATAAAAAATTGAAAAAAATTTTAACTGCAATCATCGTATTTTTCAATTTTAGCTATTTTTTGGTACCATCAAAAGGTATTCTTGCACATAAATAATATCTATGTATCTATCTTTTGCACTAACAAATATTATTTTTAGACAAATAACACTACTATTAGTAACTTAATCGAAACAATTAATGCCGAGATTTTTGAAAAAGTAAGTTTCAAGTTTTCATTCATAAATAAAAATAATAAATCATTAATACTGTTTATATTTCTAGTATAATCTTTGGAAAAATGTGAAATTTGTTAAAACCGAAAATAATGCATTAAAATTCGAATTAAGCACTTTAAAAACAAAATACATTGATTTGAAAAAGGAGATTACCAATTTAAAAGAAAAGATCACTACTTCCAACGAAAGAAAAACATTCCTTGAATTACAAGGAACCAAATTCAAGTATACAATTAAAACCCTCGAAGATACGATCAAAAGCTTTGAAGCTACTATAAATCTCAAAAATAATGAGATAAATCTCAAAGCACAACACAAAGAATTTTTAAAGGAATTAACTTTGTTAAAAAACAAAAATGAAAAAGCCGAAAATAGAAAAATATAATTAGAAAATAAAATCAACAAGATAATTGAAGATCACGATCAGTTAATAAATACAATAAATGAATTACGAAAGAAGGAAAAAGAATTAAAAAAATAAATATGAAAAGGAGAAGCAAGAAATTCAAAATAAATTAGGTGAATTAGAGGCAGAAAGAATAAATAAAATAGTCGAAAATTCAAAAAGAGGATGTAATTAATTCAATGATTAAATATTATAATGTAGCTAGTTTATGCATTTTCATGAATAACAATTTTTTTTGAAATTTTGAATTGTCAATTTTCTTTTGTATAATGAAATGGTTAATAGTAAAATACAATAACAAATAAGTATCCCAGCTAAGATAATCTCAATTTATACATATAGCTAATTGTTTAAATCTGATTATATATTTATTGATAATAATTTTAACTATAATAAATTTAACCTCTATAATTCACACACTTTTTTGTATTCTGAGAGTGTGATTATAGAAAGTTTTGACTCACTTTCATATAGTAAATTTCTAGATATTTGTTTGTATAACATTCTGATCAGCAAGAGAAACCTAGAACTGGCAATTTAGAACAATTACCGGTTAGAGGTTTCCCTCATATCGATATTAAAAAACTGTACTAATTAGTTTAATAATTAGGGGTTTTAAAATAGATGTGCTTATAAAGAGAATTTCTATATGATGTGCTTAAATAAAAGGTGACTATAGTGAGGTTTAACTGAATCCTCTTTTAATTCACAATGCAACATTTTGTTATTCTTTTAGATTTCGCAATATACTCTTTTTTTAGATGATCAATTAAGTTATGGTGATAAATTTCTGAGATTAATTACTAAACTTTTTAAATAATCAGTACTATCTTCATTCATTAATGATTTTGAAACGATTAGCCACTTGTCAAGTTCATTATTTAAAGTGTTTTTAAAAGTTTCTGATGTATTATACAAGTTCACGTAATCTTCGACGTTAGAAATTGTTTCATGCCAGCGGTGACATTGAATGTATATTTTGTCTTTATTAATCACATCAGATCGATCTTGCTTTGTCTATACATAGTGATTACTAAATAATATTTATAGTGTAATTGTTTAAATGATGGGCTATACCTTTTCAATCTAGCTAATACTGAAACACTGAAACAAAGAATTGGTGTCTTTACACGTCATTAAATTATATGGCATCTTCTATCTGAGAATTAAATTATCTGATACATATGCTGTAGTACATGAGATTTACCAAAATTATATCTATGGAGTAGAGTGTTCAGATTATGCAGTTTCAATTTGGTTTGTATTGTTTAAACATGGCTGAAACCGCATAATCTGGATACTTTATTATGAAAATTATGAGCAATTATATTTACCAAAGTTACGAATTAATTCTATCCAAATTATGTTTACTAGAGTTACTAATTAATTCTAACATCAAAATGATATTTACTAGAGTTACAAATTAATTCTACCAAAATTATGTTTACCAGAGTTACGAATTAATTCCTACCTTCTATGTAATAACAAAAAGTTTTCTGGTTTACTAAAGCCTTTTCTAATCTTACTTAGTAGCAAACCTTAATAGCTAAAAATTTTTAGCAAGATAATGCTATTGATGTCGTAAAATTAATTTTTTCTTTCTAAGAATATATACAATATGGACTAAGTGCTAGGAAAAGGGACTAAATTGACGAAAAGAAAATCAATTTTTATGTTATAAATCTTATAATAACCTATTTTTTGCAATTGCAATACTTTACACTTGTTGATGATCCTTTGATAACATTTGTATTCGACGACGTTGGGTTATGCTTTAATCATAATAAAAAATAATTTTTGAGGAATATCCATCACGTCTAATGTATAGCAGAGACCGTTAATATTACACATATATTAAAACTGCTAAAGGATTATATCCAAATGCACTTTTTCTTATTGTTCTCGCAGAGGAGCTGCATAGAAGTATAAAAACACATTCAACTATTTCTAAATATATTTTTATGCAATTTTATGTTTTATATTGAAATTAGAACATATTTATATCATAACATAACTGTTGTTGTTAACTAATATCCTGCACTTTTAAACTGCATCTAACATTTCTTTCTTGACATAGATCAATTATTTCTCTCTCACAATCTTCTTTCTTTTCGATATTGAAATTTTTAACTAGTTTTAAATTCTCTAAATATTTATTTTGTCTTATAAAATTTTTCAAATTTGGAAGTTGATTAAGCTCAATATCAAGAGGTAATACTAAAACTTTTAATTTAACAAATTCTGTATCCAGATTATGTAAAAAACTATTTAAGTCTTCATATCTATAATTATAGATGCTTCGTATGTTAAGAAAAGTTAGTGATTTGGGCAAATAGTTAACTAGAAATATAAAAATATCTTGATAACACTCAAAGCCTCCCAACTGTAGTTGATAAAGATGTTGAAGTTCTACTAACATAGAAGAGAGCCTAAGATTGCTACTAAAATAATATAAAGTAACAAGATTTGGATAGTTTTGACAAAGTAAAGAAATTAATTCCTTTTTTTTATCAAAATATTTTTCATATAATACACAGGCTTTAAGCGTTTTACACTTTATATTAAGTATAGATCTGTTTAATTCTATTTCATTGCAAACTAATTCTAATCTTTGAAGATTTTGTAAATTATATTTGCTTTCTTTGAAAAGATTACTAGATAAAAATTTAATTGCCAAAACTTCTAAACATAGAATAAAATCAATCAAGTCATAATTATCAAATTTAATTTTTTGCAAAACTAGTTTTCTTAAGCTTTGAGGTTTTGCTAATATATATTGAGTAAAGTCAAAATTGTTATAAATATGACAACCAATTAAATCAAGTTCCTTGAGCTTAGTTTGAGTGCTAACTATTTTTAAAAGTTGTTTTAAGTATTTTTCTGATAAATCATCATGTGTTGTAATTTGGATTTTGATAATTTTTTTACACCTGCGATATATCATGCTTTGGATAGCTGTGAGTATGGTAATTTCTAAACTAGACTTCAATATATTTTGATATTTCTTATACCAAAGTAAGGCTATATTTTTTATTTTTTGATTGGAGTAGTTCTTTAAATAATCAGTTTATTGGAATAGTGTTTTGTGAGGTATATCAGTTAGATCAAATTGATGCATACTTGAGAATAGTTGACTTTTTTCTTGTTTATTTAGATAAGAAAAATAAATAGAAATTATTTTTACTGAATTTTTTGTTATACGTGCTAAAGGATTTGCCCAAAGTATAGATACAGTTAAGTGACAAAATAAGTAGTTAACTAATAAACAGTTAAATAAAGTTTGGTTTTCATATTTAAGAAATTTGATAATTACAACATAGCAATCTTCTTTTAGCATTTATTAATGATATTCTGTAAAATCAGTTGAAAAATTAATACGCTAACTAATTAAATAGTTTCTTGTAACATTATCATTAACATAATAAATCTTTTAAGAAATAATCTTTATTTATATGCACAGATCTTCGATAGTATTACGTAAAGGATTATTATCAGAAGAACTAGCGAAACTGAACGGGACCGAAGTGTTTGGCAGCACTCCACCAACCAGGCCGCCAGAAGAGTACCGGAGGAAAAGGACCCAACCGTGGGGACCAGGGGCAGGTCATAGCCCTTCCGGGCCATCTGGATTGGT